GGTATCATGGATGTGAGAAAGGTAGTAATCTATAAGAAACGATACCAACATTAGGCAAATATGAACTTGAAATATAAAAAATACTTACTATATAGAAGGACATACCACGCATCCCAATGCGACAAAACAAAATTGAAACCGGTCTTTCATATCTTTCTTAATGATTGTGAAAGAGTTATGATTTGTTCTTTCAAGATTATGAAAGAATATTGGTAGGTTCGAAAAACTTTTTTGTATACCTCATTGAATCCACTCATTTTCCCAATTGGTATGTTCAATGAATAAGGTGTCCACTATAAATGGATTTCATTTCAAATTGAATGCAGGGGTAATTATTCGTTTTTAAAGTAGTCATTTCGAAATAAGAGTACATTATGCAAGGTAGAAAGTAGTCAAAGTATGTAAAACAGTAGTCAAATAATGTTAAATGCCAGTACACAGTAGTCAATACTTATAAAATAGTAGTCAAATTACAATCATGTGTCTGAACTTCACTGTACGATAAGACAACACATAAACTAGTAGTCAAATGCTAGTAGACAGTAGTCAATACGTATTACACATTACTCAAATTACAATCATATTTCCGAAATTCACTGTACGATAAGGCAACACATAAACTAGTAGTCAAATGCTAGTAGACAATAGTCAATACTTATAAAATAGTAGTCTAATGGTAGTATATAATTGAAGATATATTTACCTGTCCACACCAATAAAAATTTACTTCTCATAAACCAAAGAAATGATAATTTGCAATTGTGGGGCTCAATGTATTATAAGGACCTCAAGAACTACCAACAACCCTGGACGGTTATTTTACGCTTGTCCTAAAGAGGTATCTGGGTTGTCCTATAATTATTTATATTATAATTTTTTAGTGAATATTTACACAATATACATAATTTTTTTGGATATTTATTTATCAGTCACCACAATCTGGGTTTATTTGTTGGGTGGATGATGCAAAAGACAATAATTCGTTGATAATTTCTAACTTAGCTCGATCGAAGAAGAAGCTTCAAAGTAAAATACTGCACTTGAAGATATCGTTACTTTGTAGTTGAATTTTCTTTTTTTGTGTTGTTGTCTACAAGTTGTAAAATGTAAAATGTAATGTATGTTATTGTTTGTAATGGTTTATGTTTTCATCTATGGTAACTTGTTGTGCTGTCCTTTTCATATTGTTTTGTACAAGTTGTAATATTTTTTTTCTGATTTCATTTAACTGTAGAATACATGTTGTTTACAAATAAAATTGTCAATATTAACAGACATGTCGTTTGACTTGTAACATTTTTAATTTTACATATTTTTTTGTCCAGTAATAACCTAGACCCATTTCATAATGTAATGTATGTTATTATTTGTGATGGTTTGTGTTTCCATCTATGGTAACTTATTGTTCTATCCTTTTAATATTGTTTTGTACAAGTTGTAATCTATTCTTTTTTCTGATTTTGTTTAGCAGACAGAAACATTGCGTTGAGTAACAGATAAAACAAACATGATTTCTGGAATATCATATATATTTTTTTTGGAATATCATATATTTATTTCCTCAGATAAAACAAACATGATCTCGCTATGAATTCTATGAAAGTGCTTCGCATGTCGTTTCACTTGTATCATTTTTAATTTTACATCTTTTTTGGTCCGGTTAGTAGTAAATTAGGATCCATATTTTATGATACATACTAATGTCATATGACCGAATTGTTATATAGACAATTAAAGAATCTTATAGGACGCATATAGTACAATTATTTGACATTAACATAATTAGATTAATTAACAATAGGTAAACCAAATACTCTTATAGATAACTCCCCCACGAGAACCTATATTATAAGAAAAAAGTATTAGTTAAACATATATAAATTAATATTTTATTATAAATATTAAATTGACAAATACCTATTCCATTGATCAAGGTTCTCCACCACCCACAAAAATTCCTTGATGACTTTATCATTAAGCTTATTTCCCAAAAAACCTTGATTGACGATATATAGCAAAATGGCACGGACACCGTCGTGAGCCGATATGTCATTGAACCGTTGATTCAAGATAAGGAGCTCTAAATCTTCTACAACTAAAGAAGTGCCCGTGCGATATGGGAAGACTCTGGACCGAAATGTATTTTCACCATATCCTTGTTTATACATGGTTGAAAATTCGATCATTGATGTAGGACACCGACCCATGTAAAGTCCGGTCACAAGACAAAACTCCTCCGGCCCAAATGACAGTGTACGTCTAGTAAACCTAAAATATAGACGTTCAGCGGCGTTCGTTTCAGCAGTAGGACGCAACATATGCAGTAACAACCCATGAATAAGAAATTCGTCTCTGGACTGAGCTTGTAGGTCCAACAAGTAACCGAAGCTAGTTGTTGAAAAAAGATCGCGCACGGGTCCGTTCAAGCGACTCAAAACTTCATGCAATTTATGGCATGGAGCTTTGACAGATAAGTGACCCAACATTGTTTTGTTTGGAAGCTACAAAATTAAATAAACATTAAGGTTAAATAAAGTTTTATAAAAGAAAAAAAACTGATAAACAATTAGAGAAAACACACAATATAAGACTTAATCATTTCATATATTCTATTTACTTTGTATAAAATACCAAAGGAAATTAATTGACTACATTTTTTTGTATTTTCTATACTACTAGTATACCAAATTTAGCATTGTACTTTGAAAATGGTGTGACAATAACATATTTTATAACAAACCCGAAAGTACCAAAACACAATGTTATTTTATCAATACAGTATACTTCAAAGTATCTACACATTATAAACATAAAAACATTTTCAAATCGATAGTACATTGCTATTGTATGCTATAATTGAGACATATAAAATAACATCATTTTTAACAACATGCAAACATTGAATCATAACATACATACAAGGAGATACAATCCTTAAAAATACGTTTAAACAATTTTTTTTTGAAGAAAAATGAAAAAAATATATATATAAAACCATAGGTTTTAGGAAACCTACGATTTTGTTTTTCCAACAAAAAATCATAAGATACATACAAGGAGATACAAATGTTTATTAGTTATAAATTTTTTTTATTAAAAAGAAAAAAAACCGTATTTTTTGGGAAACCTACGGTGTACAAGTGTTTACGGTACAAACTGTGCAGTAATTGCTTGTACACCGTAGGTTTCCAAAAAACCTACGGTTTCCTTTTTTTTTTTGTTTTTTAAAAAAAATTATACGACTACAAAATAAATAAAGTTTCGATGCTATTGAATCGATTTAAAAAAAAACGAAAAAAAAAAATTCCGTACGGTTCATACGAAACCGTAGGTGTACAAGTCGACATTGCACATTCTGTGCATTGGGCACCTGTACACCGTAGGTTTCGTATGAAACCTACGGTTTTATATTTTTTTTTTTCGATTTTTTTAAAAAAAAATTTAACCACATATACAAAACCTACTCCTAATCACAAACACGATAAAATTTTGATGAAAAGTAGACAAGCCTGGTTGTTCTTCGGGTGCTCCATTGAGAGAAAAAAGTAGCCAAACCTAAGAAAACAATGGGAAAAAAGACCTAAACTGAATTTTTTTTCATTTTATACTTTGGGTTAATGGGCCACGAAAAAATAAACGGGCCCGTGAAACATTAGCCCATTACCACGAAAGTGTACTTTTCGGCCTAAAACAGTAGTCAACCACGTTTACCGTAGTCAACCATAAGTTGACTACGATTTTGTGGGCTATTTTTGGCTAATTGATATTTTTTGGCTAATTGATATTTTTTGGCTATTTTTTGATAAATAATTAACAAAAATTACTAGATTAATATTTTCCCCATTATATTATAGCAGCAGTTGTGGGGCTATAGAGGGCATGAGCGTACTATATCGATCACACTAGGTCTAAACCCGTGGAACTCCACGGTTTAAAAATTATAAAATAATTATACTTTTGATAGTGAATAAACAAAGATATGAAATTTTAGAAATAAAGAAGAATAATGATATTGTAGTTAACATGAATAGATACATCAAATACAATAAAGATGGTAGAGAAACAATGTTTATAAATTCCCAAAAACTTCCTTATAAACGAAATTGGAAGTTTTATTTGTGACACGACCATCGTTGTCTAAAATTAACAATTTTAATCTGTCCCTGCTTTGAACTCTAGATAAAGCAACATACAATTGATCATGTGAAATGACGGGATGTTTGAGAAACAAACCAACCTTGGATAATGACTGTCCCTGACTCTTATTAATGGTCATTGCAAAACATACAGCCAATGGAAACTGTCTTCTTCGGAATTTGAAGGGGATTTTCTTTTCTGATGGAGTTAAACACATTCTTGGAATAAAAGTGCGGTTTCCAATATTAGTTCCACATATGATACGTGTCTCGATAACACGTTTGCCCAATGATATCACCTGGAGTCTTGTCCCATTACACAATCCATTTTTCTGGTCAATATTTCTGAGCAACATAACGGGAACACCAATTTTTAAAACTAACTTATGGTTTGGTAAACCCGATACTTTCAGACCATTTAAAACATCAGGTGAATATAAATTTGCATCAAACTCATCATGGACAAATTCAGATTGGCATATTGTATCTGAACTTAAGTATTCAACTTCATCTCCTGGAAACTTCAATAGCAAACGGTCATTTATTTCCTGTACCACTTCATTTTTTGGAGCAAGTATTGCTCTTTCTTGAAAATAGTTTGTATTGTTGTACTTTTCCAAAATTGAAGGGTATACGAAGTCGATTAATGAACCTATAGGATCATGAGGATCATTAATGAGAATATCATCTGGAATATCAATAACCGTTTCTCCATCGTTGATACCTCCAACAGTTAGTCTCATGTTTTTTGTTAATTTGCAAAATCTCTGATTTTTTCTATATCAGATTGATCGCTTCCAACAGTTAGTCTCATGTTTTTTGTTAATTTATGGATCTTTATGTGTTGCCATAAATATGAAGAACTTAAAGAAGCATTAACAATGTTTTGTCTACTTCCCCTGGAATAACAAGTAGAATCTGTCTGAAATCACCTCCAAAAACAATAACTTTCCCTCCAAACGGAATATCTGAGTTGGTAGAATTTTCAAACAAGAATACATCTTTCAAACTTCGATCTAAAGCTTCAAATGCATGCTTATGGACCATAGGAGCTTCATCCCAAATTATCAATGAGGTTTTTCTCAATAAGCTAGCAAGGTCACTACTTCGATTTATTTTACAAATAGAATCCTCTGTTAGTTCAAATGGAATAATAAATCGAGAGTGTGCTGTTCTACCTCCGGGCAATAATAATGAAGCAATCTCACTTGAAGCAACATTTAAAACAATATGACCATCTTTTCTAATAGCTGCAGATACTGTCTTCCATAAAAAAGTTTTACCAGTTCCACCATATCCACAAACAAAGAAGACACCTCCTTTATTTTGTTTAACAACAGTCATGATATCTTCGAAAATGTGACGCTGCTCATTTGTCAACGCAAGAAACATACGATCAAACTTATTCTTCATATTTGTAATGTCATAATTTAGCTCTTCTGTGATGAGTCGATTGTTTGAAGAAGAAACGTAATCAACATCCGGGATAGGCATGTTTTTGAAATTTTTTAAACTCAAGTTGTTCCGAAGTAAAACTTGTTCTATCTCGAACAAAGTTAAATTCTTAATTTGATCTTCATTGAGTGATAAGTCCGGAAGACAAAGAGCAAATTATTTTGAAATATTAATAATAATATTTTTATTATAATTAAAATATTAATTAATGTATGTTTAAAAATAAATAATTGACCATTTAATAAATAATAATAATAAAAAACTTGAATACCTGGAGACTTGAATCTCTGTCGTTGGTGATAAAGAATTCCATCTGCCAAATATTCCCATGTGTTTTTCCAAACAACCTCCGGTTTAGACATACTGTTACACATCAACAATGTAGCAAATAAAAATTGTAGGTAAGAACCAGATCCAGAATGACTCGCTTCTTTGATTGCGTCGATGTATTCTTTGTCATCATCCAAAAGACCAAGAGCATAACAAGCATCTCTAAAAGAAGAATATTCTTCACCATTTACTGTGCGAATTTCTTCAAATGATTTCGGACCTTTGACCTTATTTAACAAAATCCTTAAAAAATAAGCTTCACGTAAATTAGGTTAAACCGAATGATTTCTACCAATGCACTTTCCTACTTTACGTGGCTTCCAAATCCTATCACCACGATGCCAAACAAACTTTGTAGGAAATTCAACATACGTAAGTTTCCGTGCATCAGCATTAACTGCATTACATTCCATCCAAGCTGTGAACATTGAAGAAGCAACAGAATGTTTGTCGAGAACATCATCAATATCATCGTCTTCACCATATATAATTTGTTGTTGACCAGGAAGATGAAAAGGCAGTCTAACCACAGAAGGATACCTGTAATGAACATCATATTGAAAAATTCGCCATGATGCTTCACATGCAGATAAATATCTACAGTCCTAGTACTCATTTATTTCATCGACCAAATCATTAGTATCACTCTCATTGTTGCTTTGTACAATGCGAACTTAGCTCTATCAGGTCCCTTGTTTATGTATTTGAATAAATACTTTATAGAAGAACCCTGATTGCACCATTCAACATTAATATGTGATTGGTATCTTTTCAATAGATATTTGTTGTAAGGGACAACATTTCTATTATCCAACTTCACACCAGATTTTTCAACAAAATGACCATCGTTTCTTCTTCTATACAATGGAAAACCATTCTGATCAACTGAGCTATGATTACAGAATTGCTTTGGAAAGTTTTTTGAGCACTTTTTGTCGACCATACATGGACAATTGATATTTTCAGCGCCACATGGACCATGTATCATGAACTCATTCACAAGAGAATACAATTCTGGATCTTCATGTATGTTTGGTATCTCAGCGTAAATTATCGGATCGATAAATTCAACAGTGGGTAGCTTGTAGTCAGAATGCATAAAAAGACATATATGACTATGGGGCAAACCTCTTTTTTGAAATTCAATAGTATAAACAACTGCATAATATTTTGTACAAAAATCAAATATTATTATATCGTAATGATATAATATAAAAAATATATAATAATTAGCATAAGATTTTATCAATTATGAATAAACATAATTTCAAATACCTGCTTGAACTATGCCGAAAATGTGATTCTCCTTTAAGTCTTTAATAAATGCATCAAGTTTGATCTTGAACAACCTACATAGTATATCAGGTCTATCTTCTGCTTGAAGTGAAGTATCCTTAAGGAACCTTTTAACCTCTGGCCATTTGGGATTACACGTAAAGGTTATGAAGAAATCAGGATATCCAAACCATTTACATAACGACATGGCATCCAAATAGTTCTGCAACATATAGCGCGCACCACCGGTAAAAGAGGAAGGTAATATCACACGTTGGCCAACATTGGAGATATTTGTAGTTCCTTGAGCTTTTTGGTTACGTAAATTCTCATAAGAATCACATCTAAGAACATGTTGTTGCCTACGTATGTAATACAATCTATCACTTTCAATCATCGTATAAGCATCTACCAAAAATTGTTGAAACAATCTTTTTGAATTAAGAATCAGTGAGAACGAATGATCCCTGTCTTGAATAGTAGCGGATATTGGAGAGGAAGGTAAGAAGGATGCAATTCACTTATACGTTGTAGAAATCCCGATCTAGTTTCAACAACGATATCTCTATTATCAATTGAATCACAAATGTCACCTATAATTAAAGCGGCAACCTCAGAAGCAGTCGGTAGGTTATATGTCTTTCCATCTCGATCCCTTCTACCGATGATTCTTAACTTCATATCAACTTGAGGTTATTTTTTAAAAGTATCTCTTACCATCCTATAAGAGTCAACCAAGACATTATTTGAATCTAACATCACCTTCAAATCTTCAATAATATCATTATCAATTGATGTAGCTTGATGCTTTTCCCCACTATAAAAATTGAAAATAAACATAATATTAGTACAAAAATAAATATTTCAATTAAATATGAATCAGAAGATTGAAGATATACCCAAAACAAGTCTGTCTATTTGAATTTTCATTGTCGGTATCATATATGTATAATTGAGAGAATTTTGGTTGCGATCCATTCGGGGGTAAAAGGCTTCCAATACTATGATAATTTTGACCACCAAGTCGGAAAATGTATGGAGCTTTTCCTCTGTTGATTGAAGAATCAATTTTACCACCCATCGACGTAAAAGAAAACATTGAATTGTAACGTCGAATGTTTTTCATAAAGTTTTTGCTTTAGAATCCGTTCCTCGAAACATTCTTTCATAAGCTGGTGGTGCGTTCTTTAAATATGGAAGTTGAACCTTGCCATAACCACAACATAATGAATAATTTGTGTTCCCTCTTTCTTTTCCTCTAATGGATTCATTTTTCCATAATTTTGCATGGCATGTTTGACATACAACAATTTGATCACCATGATCCAAATATTCTGTAATAAAATAAAGTTGTATAAGTAAAATATTGAATTCATAAATATATATAATAAAGTATTTGAGTTATAATAGAAAAAGAAAATGGGTGTATATATATGGATTACCTTTGGAAATACCAATTAATTGGTTTTGAGTAATGACTTTATACATATTTTCTACATCTGCTGTAAAGTCAATAAATGGAATAGGAGATAAATTATCCAACTTCCTTTTTAATTTATGACACCCTGGATTTAACTTGATTGACGATGAAGAAGCAGTTATTGTAGATGCATTTGTCGATGTCATACCATTACAAAGTCCAGACTAATGTATTTTATTTTGTAACGTAGAAGTTGTGTACTTATTGAAACTAATATTAGCTGAAAAATAAAAAATAGTGAGAATATATAAATATATTAGAAAGTAGTTGAAAGAAAAATGTAAAAACCAATATTATTACCATTTGAAATGTTAGATAAAGGAGTTCCAACATTTATATATGAAGAAGAAGATTGTAAGGGTGTATTTTGGTTTCCACGTGATTTATAGGAACGTGAATTTTCTTTTTCACGAACAACATTTTTTGATTTATCTGTAAATAACAAAAGGTTGTAAAAATTGAAGACATGTATTATAAAATAAAATTAGAATTATAATTTTATATTAGTACAGGAAAATAATATAAATGATGATAATATATGTATTTTCTATATAGGTAAATGAATAGTGAAAATTAAAAAAATAAAATAAGAAAATTACAATTATTCGTGTTTGTTAAGAAGTGTGGTGCACATCGATTTTGAACACTGAATTTTGTATTATTTTTCTTCGATCTCTTATTATCCAAATATAATTTTCTCTGTCGTATGTTCTCTCTTGCTTGCAAGTAGTACATGTTATCATTTGTTCCTGTATAACGAATAAAAAGTATATGATATAAAATGTATATGAGTGTAAATAATTGTGTTTGATATAACAGTGAAAATAATAAATGATTAAATTTTGTTTAAAATTAAAATTTTCATAATAATATATAATAAATAATAATAATAATAATAGCGAAGAAAGAATTGTACCTTTGTAGCCGATGTTAACAAATGTTGAACATGATGAATCTTCCGTGGTAGATGAAGTAGGCAATTGTTTTGCTTTTTCTTATTATGTTAATACAAATTATTGTTAGAATAAAACATGAATTTAACTATATAGATATATATATATATAGTATATATAATAATATATATATAGATATATATATATATATATATATATATTGATATATAGAATATATAAAACTTTGTATTTTTATATAATATGGAAATAATTTATGTGATATTTTTATGTTATTAAATATTTATTTAGAAGTTTAAAAATGTGTTAAAAAAATATAAAAAAACGTTAAAGAAAAAACATACTGTTGTAAGTTGAATCAATTACATTTGTAGCGGTTGAATTTTCTCGGCTTGATGAAATAGACCAATTAATGTTATTTCTATTATCTAAATAAAAACTATTTAATTTTCTACTCTTTTTAGAACTAAACGACTCCATGATATATCTGCAATCTGAACAGATAACAACAATTAATTTATAAAGGGATATCATAAGGAGTAAGGAGTATGATTAAATTAAAGCAAAATAATATATAAACTAATATTATGATGACATTTGATATATAATTGCAATTTGTTTTATGATATTATGTTAGTCGGTCAAATATTGAAATATGACTGCTTTGTAAATATTTTTTATATTTTATGTACCCTAATATAACATTCATAAAATAAAACATTGATAAAATAAAATATGTAGAAAAACTATTTATATTAAAAAACCATATAGGTAAACAAAATGTAGACAAATTTTGGTTAATGATTTAGAAGTTAATATACTCTTTAATTGTGAATTATTAAGTAAAAGTGACCATTTACTCAAATTTATTTAAACATGGAGCATAAATTGGAATTTTGTTTAGTTGGATGATAAAAGAAACGTTTAGGTTTGTCTTAAACACAATAAACATAACAGTCGCACTTGTATGTATAGATAGAAATGAAGAACTACAACAAACAGTCAAAACAATTTTTATTCGTCTGTTGTGTGGAAACTGAAAGATGTGTTAAGGTAAGAAAAATGGGGACCGGAGGCAAAAGTGTATTAGAAATGCACTTCAATACTAACCGGAAGTTTCCATTTTTCTGAAATAAATATTTGGTTACCTGTAATCGTCAATTGGAGAGGACAGCATGAATGAAGAACGAAATAACGCAACTACTATCGGCAAAGCAAAGAAGATCAAGAGGAAATGACTTGAAATAAGGTTAGGGTTTTATAATCTTTTAATTTAGGTTTGAAATTTTGTTTTTGAAATTGTGTGGAGGGAACCATAATTTGTTTTGAAATTTTGAAAGTATTAAAATAAATTGGTGTTAATCAAGCATTAATCTCGGACATATTAAATAAAAGGAATGTTTTTTTTCCTATTTGTTCTTGAATGTGAGGACATGAACTGATCATATTATAAAATTAAGTTATTAAGTCGATTAAATATAAAAGTCTTATATTTATATTATGCAAAATGCCATTAATTGTCAAGAAATTGAAATTACAAAAATCCAAGAACAGCATACAATGCATCCATAGTCAAATTCGGAAATTGATAGATTAAAGAGTATATTAATAATGGGAGGGGAATTTTATAAGATTAAAAAAAAACATATACTTATTTTATTTTTTCAAAACGTGATACAAGTACATTGCTATTTAACCTAGTTTGATTGATAGAAATACACAATTGTTTGATTAAATAATATCTTGATAGTGGGAGGTGCAATTTAGAAAATTGTATAATATTTAAGTTTAAAGTTGAACAATAGATGATATAAGTGTAAATATATAGTTATTGAGGCAGAAAGTACATTGCTATTTAACTGATTTTGATGGATAACACAATGTTATCATTTCTTTATTTGATTTATGGGTAAATAACTTAGTTAAATATCAGAAGTTAATTTTTCAATTTATTTTCAATTCCTGAATTATAAGTTACTTAGGGTACTATGGGAAATCATAAAATTACAAAGTTTAAGGGCAATTTGGGAAATATATAGTTTTTAAAAATAATATATATGTAAAGATACATATCTTATAATTTTGAGGGGTAATATGGGAAATCATGTAATGAATTCGATACATGCATATCTAAATCAATCTTTAAGGGCAATTTGGGAATCAAAATTCCACCATTGATACTACTGGACTCATATCCTTTTCAGACATATTGGTTTCTTTAAGTTCAAACTGTGAAATTTGAATAAAATAAATAAAATAAAAAATATATATAAAAAAAACAAAAAAAAACATTAACATGTTTATCTGATTTATTTAAAGTTTGTCATTGTTCTGTAATTTCATACATATGCAATACCATTATACATCAAAAACAACCATGACAATCAAAAAGACAAAGCAGATTACCCTAACATCTGCCTTGACAATTAACAACTCATTCATTTTCACCTTGATATTGCAATTTTGAGTCCATACCCTTGATCTGTAAAAACAAAACTATATACAACAAAAATATGAATATTACTAAAAATTAAAACTATAAAAAATGTGAAATAGTTAGTCAACATATCATATATTTCATTAAAACAAAATATGAGTTTGAAAGTGCTTAGATAATGCACTGTTCTATTTCACAAAATATACAAAAGATAATTAACATATGTCTTAAGCGTGAAATATCTAACTTCAAAAAAAAAAAACAACAGTTCCCTACACTAAGTCTTTCCAGGCAATAACATTCTCTTTTGCCATGTCCATTGCATCTTCCATCTTTCCTCTGGGAATGGTGATGTTTAGCATATGATTGATGTATGCTATTCCATCATCAACTGTTGACATTGGGTGTTCTGTCACAAAGAGATGAATAAGCTTCTCAACTCTTTTTGCTGGTGAGTTCATCATGAAGTGGGGGAAATTGGTTGGCACATAAACTGGCTTGTGTTCTACATACAGATGTTCAATCTCACGGAATTGATGTGCCCTAAATATTGATTTGAAATTTGTCAAAGCATCATCATCCAAAATAGGAGTCATTGACAAACTAGAATGTTCTTCTGTTGGCATATGTTACCAGTATCCAACAGTTGTATAACCCAAAGTTTTAGAAAAACTACCAAGCATATCCATGTCAAGCAAATCAATGTTGACAAAAGTAATAAAATGAACTTTTGTTTTTGATAAGCTTTACCTGGATAATCAGTGAAATATCCACAATGGACAACTCTAATGGTGAACCTTTTGTCGTTTCCTTTGCCATACTCTACAAGCGGTGTGTTTTTTGGTTCCTCACTGGTTACAGTCCATAGCTGATACCTCGGCTTTGCCCATGGATCGAGATTCATGTTTCTTGCCATTTTTCGCAGGATTTTTTTCACAGAATATGAGTAATTCGTAGTTATCTTTTGATGGTAAGTTCAAATACAAGAATGAGAATTTACATAAACGGTGACGGTTAAAAATGATGATTAATCAGAGATGAAGAAACATCGACGAACGCATTAAACACATCAGTCCCGATTACGTGCAGGCTACAGGGGAGGTTCAAGTTGAACGATGGCGTGTATAATGATTATGTATTATTATATTGAGTTTTTATCATATCTTGTAAATATGTTAAATTTTATAATATGGTTTCATTTAAATATTTTTTTCTATTTAAGTAAGATAATATAAAAACTATATTTTTTGTATAGTTATATAACATTGATAAAATAGAATACAAATAATTAGTAAAACACGATTAATTGTCCACAAGATGAAATTACAAAAAATCAAGAACAAAATAGACTGCATAATTACTCAAATGCAGGAATTAATTGATTAAAGAGTATCTTAATATTGGAAGGGGCATTCTAGGCAATTTATAATTTTTAAAAATAAAACATATACTTATTCTAATTAAACATTATGACCCCACAATGTTATAATATTTAACTAAGTTATTTACCCATAAATTAAATAATATCTTCATAGTTGGAGGTGCAATTTAGAAAATTATATAATATTTAAGTTTAAAGTTGAACAATAGATGATATAAGTGTAAATATATAGTTCTTGAGGCAGAAAGTACATTGCTATTTAAAAATAAAACATATACTTATACTTATTCTAAATAAACAAATTGTAATACAGGTACATTGCATTTAACTGATTTTCATTGATAGAAATAGAAAATATTAACATTTGTTTAATTGAGTTATTAGTAAATACGTTTGGTAAATGCATATACAATGTAAATTCTACAACTGATTGATTAAAGAATATGTTGATAGTGGAGTTGCAATTTAGTAATTTTATAATATTTACGTTTCAAATTGAAAAAAAAAATGATAAAAGTGTAAAAATAAAGTTATTTTAGAAGAAATTACATTACTATAATCAATAACGAATAAAATTACATATAAATTATTGAATTGGACACCTCAATTGATAAAGTAGAAGAATCTTAAAACTAAATTAGGATATTGAATTAATTTTTTATAAAAGTTATGTATAAATTCAGAATCAAACTTTAACGGCAATTTGGGTGAGTTATTAGTAAATAAGAGTATATTATATGTGGTAGGGGCATATTAGGAATTTTATAATATTAAAAAAGAAAACATATAGTTATTTTAATTACACAAACCGTGATACAGGTACACTGTTATTTAACTGATTATGATTTATAGAAGTAGGGGCAATTTAGGCAATTTGAATAACAAAGGCAATTTAGGCAACTTTTATTTAATGTTTATATTTGATTTCTAAGATGAGGATACTTTTATTTTTTCTATTCATAAATAAATAACAATACATTGTTATTTATTGTATATATCCCTAGATTAATGATTAGTCATTAATGAATAATTTGGAAAGAAACTCCAAAAGAAATGTTGTATAAAATCAGTTGTACCATAAACAAAATATATTAGCAAACGACATTATAGCAATGAGAAAAATGACCCAATGTAGAGAATCAGACAATATATGTTCAACAATTAAACATAAAAAACCATCAAATGAAAAAAAAACAATTCAAAATGCAACCAAGTTAAAAATCTAAACGACTTAAGAGTCTATGAGATGTTAAAAAAAATTAACCATAAACTGAGATAGTTTGTAAAAGTAAAATAAATTTACTTTTCTTTCTTTGGGACCAAAAGGGGCTGTGGCTGTTCATCTGGTGGTGACAATCGAGCAGACTTAGAAGTTGACAAATTCTCCATTTCATCAAAATCTATGCATGTAGCAAGGTTTCTTTTCAGCTCAGTTGGTGTAGAGATGAACTTTATAGGACTTGTTGCAGTTGAGTTGTCCCTAGCACACGGTGTTACATTTTCACGTGTCTGTGAAAAAGAATCCTATTAAAAATTTTAGTTAGTTGTTACATATTAAAAAATAATAGTTGATTATTATAATTTAAACACTACAACCTTGACAACTTTGGTCTCTTGGGAACAAATATCTGAAGAACCAATCATGAATGAATCACAATTACCAGACTGCATATGAAGATCAAAACAATATGCTGTTTAGTGAGATATTTTTGGGTCAATGTGGTAAAAAGTAAATATAATTTTTGAAAATAACCTGTGCAATATGATTCTTTCTTTCAATTTCATCAATTATGTCTGTATTCTCAGTTAACCTTGATATCCCATAAATGTTACTTTTATTATTGACATTGTAACATGTGATATCAAGTTTAATTGCCAATTTTTTGTCTACCACAACTTTCAACTCTATTGGATACAAATTCGTACTGATGCCAAGCTAAAATATAAATAAATAGTGTTAGTAAAATTGTATGTAAAAATACATAATGTATAACATAAATAAGTAATTTATAAATATAAAATAACACCTCTTTGTTTTTATCATACAGCTCTTTAGCTGTGTATTTGAACAACTTCTTAGCTTCTTGATCAAATAAGGTCAAAGTCAAAGTTCCGGTGTTGTCTTAAACACGAAGTGAGATTTTGAATCTAAATAAAGTTTAAATTAAATTATATTATACAACAATGCTCACAAAATATTTTTATTAAATAAAATTAATATGTAATACCTTGGAATAACCCAAATTCTTCACATTTTTGCATATAGGATTAGTACATGCATAAGTAACAATTTCGGCCACTTCATGAGAACCATCAACCTTATCAGTAAAAGATTCTTTTTGTTTTGCTGACATTTTGCAGTTGCTACAAGCGAGGTAATACCAACGTATGTTTTGACGGATTCTCTTAACAGTACCAACAATAATGACTGTTTTTTCCTGGAAATTATTATAAATGTAAATGTTAATATATGTTACTTTGCTAAACCGCATAAAACTAATAAAAATGCATAGCATAAAACTAATAACTTTAAAAAGAAGATAAAGTACCTCCAAAGGTTCAAACACATCATCAATATTTGAAAACGGATGATTTTTTACAAAGTCATCGTGTTCCGTGTCTTGTTTTGATTTCATCATCTTGATTTCACTTGATGAAAGTCGTTGTCCATTTTCAGAAACCAATCTGGTCGTTGGTAACAAAGAAAGGTATTACATTTATTATGTTATGAAATAAGTAAATATGATAATTGAAAGGAAATTATAAATCAAAATACTTGTTCTAGTAGACTGTAATTTCATCGATATCGTTGTTTACAAACAACCTACTAACATCAAAGTAGGTGGATGTAAAAGGACGACCTGCAAAAATATAATTTATCATTTAATTACAAAATATTTAATTGTTTAAAATGGTTGTAAAATATAATTACAAACCATTAATAAACTTCACTTTGGCAAATTGAACAATAACAACAATTGGAGCAAAGTTGTTATTGTTGACAAGAAAATCATGCATGTAGCAAGCATTATGACCCCACAAAGTTACCTTAAGCTTAGTATCCCTGAAAAAATTAAAAAATAATGTAGTTAATTTAAAAGAAAATATATTATATTATATCTTTCTAATAATGGTGGATACTCTATATCTTGAAGATGCATGAGCATCTTGTGTTTTGATCTATCCTGTTCCGAAGTATCAATACGCCCATATTCAAAAACGTGTCCAATAATATCTACAAAAGCAACAAAACATATGCTTAAGTTAATAAAAATTATGAATTTATAATAAAAAGAAAGAAAGTACGATGCTATATAAGATAATAAATTAATATTAAAAAAACAAACCAATAGAGTTTGACTCCAGGATGTTGTTAGAAAAAATAGTATTGAAGTCAACAAAAGCAAAGTCATGTGCAGAACCAGAAAAGTTTTCACACTCTTTCACAGTTGTATAGGGATTTAAAGTAAGTTTTCTGTCCGGATCACCAAAATTAAATCTTGAAGTATTTGGTGCAACATTAGGTTTCCTGATGTATAATGAAGTATCCTCTTTTAAATAACGCTCAAATCTAGAAAACCATTTCTTCAGACAAGATGCATGAATTTTTCTTCCCTAAAAAATAATCAATTAACAAAAATTAAAATTTTATTGCTTACAAATTGTAACGCCCGTGTTTCTAGGCTAGACATTAATATTGACATAATAGTCTAGGTTAACCTTTGTAACTCATTTTGAAGAAATGAAAAGGAATTATGTGAATATTATGTGAATTATGTGTTTTATGCTTAATTATTAAGATTTAATTAATTAAGAATAAAAATGAACGTCGAAAATAAATATTAGATAAAGTCGATATCTATTAAGAAAGTTGTAGTGGTCGTGATAAGGATTCCAGATATATAAAGAATACCGAAATCCGAGTTATAACGAAGAAGTTATGACCTGTCGAAGTTTCGCGACAAAACCGACACGGTGCCGAATGTCGTAAAAAGTGAGGTTTTGATAAACTACTTTTTAGCCTTGGTGATCTAAACGAAAGTCGTAGTGTTTGTTAAACCGAGAGTATGTATAAAAAGAACGCCCAAATCTGACTTCGTATGAGGAAGTTATGATTTTTCGAAGTTTCAGCTTAGCAGTAGACAACTAAAATCTCGAATTTTAGATCGAGTGATTTTTAGCCGACACGACCTAAACGAGAATCGAAGGTCTCGTCAATAGTAGCACAACGGTAAAAAGACAGACGAAAACGGACGTCGGATGAAGAAGTTATGAATTTTTAACGGATTTCCTGTCCCGGTCTGTTAAAAATAATAATATAAAAATTAAAGTCAAAATTAGCTGACGAAGTCTAAACGAAAGTTGTAGAGCGTAATTTTACCTACGCGTGCATATAAAGAACGTAAAAAGCGGAGCCCGTATGTGAAAGTTATGGATTTTAGAAGTTTTTGCACAAAAATCGAGAAAAAATGTTAAATCCGAGAAAATTCGCATAGTCATGCTTCAGCCACGTCACCTTCGCTCCATGCGCGCCACGTTTCCGAAATTGTTGAGTCATCCGAGGCGTGTCGCAACCCTCGCATCCGAAGCGCTGGTCCAACCGCGGTCCGACGCGTGCCCTTCTTGACGTGTCCGAGCTTCGCAGGCACGCCACGACCCACCCCTCGGACCCTAGACCTCGGTCCAATCAGAAGCAGCCAGCTGGACCCTCGCACGTACCTGACCTTCGCATTTGCTGCCGCGTGGAGCTTCCTCAGCCATCGATCTTTGGTATCACACCCTATAAAAGGGGGGGGGGGTTGCGAGATCTCCCGGCTAGAATTAGAAACTTGGCATTTTTCACCCCTAAACTCATATTTTCACTATTTCGACTTCCCCCGAAGCCCCGAGATCATTTCCAACACCCGAAACACGCCCCGAAGTGCCCGAAGACCAGGAAAAATTTATCTTTTCGGTTTTGAAGCCCAACCCTCGCAGAACCCGGTTTCTCAATAAAACTCCCGGTTTTATTAGAAACGATTGTTTTAGGAAACGAAGTGTTGTCCGATTATCATTAAATCAGGTGAGTGTATAGTCACTTTCATCTTACACATAGATATGAAGTATTTTATATAAAATACGTGTTATGTGTATATATGTTGTTTGTTTATTTGAAATGGATGTTGAATGGATGTTTTATACATGTTTAAAATAATTTAAAATGTATATATATTTTATCTTCAAAATATGTTGGGTAAAACATGGGTAGATAAAGAATGAGGGATAAAAGTACGGTATAGATGTACGTTAGTAGCTATGAATTTTAGTACAATATAGATGTACGTTGGTAGCTATGGATTTAGTACGTTGGCAGCTATGGACTTAGTGTCTGTTGTATAAACCTTGGCGACGATGTGACTTCGTGCCTATTTGACATAAATTGCTGAGGGAAAGCAATGTTGTCACCCCGATGTTTGCCTTATTTGACATAAATTGCGGAGGAAAGCAATGTTGTCACCCTATGAGTTGTTTTATTTGACATAAATTGCTGAGGAAAGCAGTGTTGTCACCCTATTGGTTGTCTTGTTTGACATAAATTGCTGAGGAAAGCAATGTTGTCACCTTATTGGTTGTTTTATGTCAGGTTGTCTTATTTGACATAAATTGCTGAGGAAAGCAGTGTTGTCACCCCGATGGTTGCCTTATTTGACATAAATTGCTAAGGAACCCCCGAAGCAATGTTGTCCCCCTAATGAAAATCCTTAGGCTAGGTCCCTTGTGATAGTTATTTTAGGGACGTAAAATGAGGATAACGGGAATGGGTAATTAGGGTTATTTTTGGTTGATGAAACTAATAAATTTATTGTTGATTGATGAACTTAATAAATTTATTATTTATTGTGGGTTGAAAACCCTATATGCTCACCAGGCTCCCAAGCCTGACTCACTCAGCTTTTTATATTACAGGTAGTGGACCCCGAGCATAGTCGGATGATGATGAGAGATTTTTGGATTATAGGCCAGTAGTTGTAAATAACTGTTGTAAGGCTTATAATGTCTTGTTTATGCTTATGATCTGTATCGGAACATGACATACCGAGGTTTTGATATAAAATAAAAATATATATTTTTAAAGAAAGGTTTTGATAAATTTTTATCATGTTTTGTTTTGGGAACAAACTCTGCAACATCTTTTAAAAGGATTACTCTGATTTTATTTTAAAAAGCATAAACGAAATCGGTCTTTTCTGGCCGAGAAATTAGGGGATGTCACACAAATATCAATAATCAATAATATTTTATAAAAACAATAATTGAATATATTCATGTTATACCTCCTCATCCATCAGAATACTTTCAATCGAGTATGTGTCATTTGCATCAAATTTTGACATTTGAGTCCAAAGACGTATGATGCGAACCTTAATTGTGAAATCTTCCTTGATTGAGTCAATATCCTTTATTGGAGTAATATCTTCCATTGTACCTTGAAAATTGGAAAAAAAAACAAAAGAAATACGATTAATAGTTTATAAACAGTTTATAAAATACATACTGATTATGGGTTGTTTCTTATTCATAGGTTGTATGGATAATGATAATGGGTAGTTTTTATTCATAGGCTGTACACATACTGAATATGAGCATATCGGTGAACACAGGAATAATATCAAACAGGGTTAACATGTTATAAAAAGAGAGAGGTAAACATGTATGTTATTAATCAAATAACTCACCTGGTTGATAATGCAGTCAAAAACTAAAAAGAGAGAAAACATAGAGTAAACAATGTAGTCGCCTTACCCGATGAATAAATACTGATATATGCGTAGTCGTCACAGGAAGGTAAACATGTATGTAAAAGTGTATATATATTCGATTGATATTCGATTGCTGATTTATAGGGATTGAAATATGATTTGCTTATTTCTTGCAGAATTATATGGTATAATTCAAATTTCAATTTTGAAATATCCTGTTTCCTGATTTAAATTACCGATTTTGAAATATGATTTGCTGATTTAAATTTTGAAATATCATCTTTCCTGTGAAGGGCAAATGTGGAAATTCAGTTATAGAAAATGAACGGGAAAAGCAAAGACGGAGGGGCTAAGGAGGTGACCAGTGACATTTTATGTACTGAAGTTAGATATGCCAAGTATTTATTCACAAACTAGTCTAGTAAATAAAAGAAGTACAGATTGAGCGCAATAATTTCCATACAATAAATCTGATAATAATATATTATTTTAACCCAGCTAAAGGAATTATACCATCTTTTGCTTCTGGAATATAATATTTCATTATTTCTCTTCCTATTTGATTGACTCCAATTGGAAGTGGGTAGCTTAATAACGTCGGTGGGTCTGCTTCCATGTCAAACAATCAAAATAAGAGTTGTTTTTTTAGTTGTGGGCCATGATTGGTTTTTTTTTTTTTTTTTTTTTTTAATGTTTTGGGCTTTATAAAAATATAATTATGAAGTTAGAATTTAATTTGTGTAATATATTTCTTGTTAAGGTATAATCATTGGTTATTAATATTGATTTTCTTAATTTTATATGTTATGTTTTAGGGATAATCTTATAAAAACCCAACATATTTTCATAAAAGTCTTAAAAAAATCAATATATTATTTTTTTTTACGTTAAAACCCTTGTATTTTTTAAAATGTATCATTTAAGGCATTGAGCTCGTTAAGTCCTAGATAGCCAAAAATGTTAGGTTATCGATTCTTAACGTTTCTATTGTTACAATTCAATATATTAAAAAAACTTTTAAAAAATACGAGGGTTTTAATGCACTAAAAAAAATAATATAACGGTTTTTTTAATCCTTTCATGAAAATAGATTAGGTTTTTCTGAAGTCAGAAAACATTAAATAAGAATTTTAGAAAATATAAGGGTTTTAGTGTACTAAAAAATAATATAATGGTTTCTTTAAGCATTTAATGAAAATATGTTGGGTTTTTCCGAGGTTTCCCTATGTTTTATTTGAGATATTGTGTAACATCCTATTTCGAGAAGTTTTTTATTTCGGGATTGTGGACAAGAAATGGATCGAGCAAATGTTTTAGGCTTCAAGGAAATAGGGTTTAGTCTTTATTGGATGTTGATAATATTGGTTATGTGATCTAAGCCCTTGGTTTGTGTGTTTGGAGTCAAAGGGTAAAATGAGAAAAGTTATATGTTAGGCTTCTTGCATTGATTATGGTTTTTAATTCGATATGTGTTAAGCCAAAAATTAACTAGATAGAAGTGTGGGCTCGTCAATACCTTTCTGTGGATATAAAGATCGCCGAAAACGGACTTGAAACGAATAAGTTATGGTTGTTTGAAGTTGAGGTGGATTTGTGTAAAAATCATCGCCACAGAGTGGGGATCAGATCCCACTGCGTGGTAGTCGCCACGACACGACGATGAATCAGGCCCAAGCCCATGATTTTTAGGGTTTACAACGTATTTAAGCATAAGGTTCCGACAATTTGGTCATTATATCAACATCCATCACCTCTAGAACCTTTTGGGAGAAACCCTAGCCTCCACATTCAAGATTTGAGTTTCTCCTATCTCCTCTCTCCTCTTTTGGATGTTTTTTATGTTATTTTGATGAAGTTGAAGATCAAGAAGGTTATTTTGGTTGCAAGGAATGATGCTTCAAGTTTGGATCCATCAAAGACATTATATTTTTGGATTATTGTAAGTATAAAGTTCCAATCTTGATATCTAGTTCCTCAAATCTTGTCATTTGGGTTTTTTTTGGCACTTTTGGTCCATTTTATAAGTGATCTTGGAGTTGAGTGGACTCCAACATCTTTTGATCAGTTTGAAATGCTTCTTGGACTTCATGGACTAGGAATGTTGTGATCTTTTGCCTTCCATTATAGCCATGCAAGTTATCTTGGTCCTTTAGGTCATTTTGGTGTATTAAAGTTTAGATCTTGGAAAACTTGAGACATTGTTATGGATAAAGTTGGAAAGTTTATTCATCTATACATCATGTTGATTCAGATCTGAAGGTTAGAGACTTGGATTTAATTGATTGAGTTAAGAAAGATGCATTTTTGGGTCCCTTTAAGACTTAAAGTCTACACCTTGATGGTTTGGACATTCCTAATGGATAAAGTTAGAAACTTTATCCATTAAGACCTTAGAAAGGATCAGAACTGAGCTTTGGAGCTCCTGAAATCAAAAGAAAATGGATTAAGCTCGTTTGAGCTGTTCAGACCAGTCCCCACGGCGTGGCGACTGGGGAACCATCAACTATTTTGGCATTTTGTGCCCACGACGTGGCCAAGGAAGGCCACGACGTAGAGCGTTGTTGTTGGCAATTTGACCTTAGCTTTAACCGTTGACTTTTTGATCGGTTTGAATTTTGGTCAAACTTGGATAGAATATAGTATTTGTCTAAGGATTGGTCTCGGTTTGGATTTTAGGAAGCTTGGGTTGGCTGTGTTGTTGTTGAGGTAGTTGTTGAGCTTCTATTGAGTAGTTCGGGTGAGCCTATTCACTGTACTTAGAGGTCAAAGGCACCAATGCTAGCCCATTGGATTATGTTTGTAGAATGCTAGCTATCTTTGTGACTCTTGCATGTGCATGTATGTATGTTGGGCGAGGCCCATTATGTATTACAGGCGGGGCCTGTTTGCCCGGAGGGGCCCGAAGTATGTATAGTGTACGGTATTTTGGGGAACTCACTAAGCTTTGGGCTTACGGTTCGTGGTTTAAATGTTTTCAGGTCGTTCTTATATTATAGGAGGGGCACGGATCGATTTCATCGCATCCATTGGAGCTATCCGCACATAATAACTTTTGACGTTACTCTGCTAAATGTTTTTGAATCAGATGGGTTATCCACATCTTTGAAGTTGTAATTTGAATAAATATTTTTATTTTAAATTAATTTTTTTTTGAAATTTAGGACGTTACAAGTTGATATCAGAGCCTTGGTTTAAGGGATTTGGGCACACACTCAGGTGTGTCTGAACTCAAACTGAGGAGTTAATAAAATCTTTTAAAAGAAAATGAGTTTTCCAAAAAGGTTTTTAAGAAAAGGGTGTGATGCATGCAATCAGCCGAGCTCAAGTAAGTACTTCCTAAAATACCCATACATGTATTATGCTTATTGTTTTGGTATGAGTATATGAGAATTGCATGCTAGATTAGGGCTAAAGATCTACTTAGGATTTGCATGATAGAATGCTAGGAGATATGCCTTTATATGCCTATCAATTGAGCTTTTGGAACTACAAGCTAGTATGGATTTCAAATTGTTGGTAACAATGGCCTGATTAAGTGAGGCACTGTTTTAGATTACTCGATGCCCGAATGTTGCTTGCTTTGTGCTTTTAGAGACCTCTAATGATATCGAATAACTTTTAAGAGAATACGTTAGGTTACATGTTGCAGGGATTATATAATTTTAGAAGGTTTAGGTTTAGCTCTATTGCGCAACTCTTGTTTAATTCCAACCGTTGTAGTGTGAGACCTTGCAGTCAAAACATTATCTAGTGCTTGTGGCATGTAATTATATTCGTGAGGTAGTTAGAAGGTATTAAAGGGAGTCTTTTCTGCAGTTGATGGCGGAGAGTGGTGTGAAGGGAACCTTAGGAAAGCCTACGAAGAATGTTAGAATGTGCTTGTATGAGCAATTTCGAAAGAGAAATCCTAGAAGGAGAATCCATGAAGATTAGCAGTGTGTACTCGTTGGAGGGCGAGTATTGGTGGTTGGATCGGACAATAGTGGTTATGAGTAATTACTTAGAGGATTCGGAACGGTTTTTGAGGAAAATATGGATAGGTGTGGAAGGTAGTATTGGTCCGTACTACTGAAAGCACAGGATCTGTACTCGAATTGAGGAAAATTTCGGGGATTCTAAGGAGCTGATTGAGGGTAGATTATATGGTTTGCCATCATGGTTCATTGCAATGTGTTTCCGCCTTATTCGGTTCATCGGTTATGGTTGTCCTGGTTGAGGATGGGTCTGGTGATTGTTTGGACCTTAGTGTCCATGTCATTTTGGGTTTGAATGGTGCAAACCTAAGCGAGTTAGTTGATTTTGAGGTCTCGAGGGCTTTGTTCGAGGTAGTACCAGTTGAGTCGCGAGACTCAAAAAGAGAGCGATTGTGATGATCGGCTTGAGGATTACAGTAGGAGGCTGAGTGATTAGCATATGGATTGGGATGTCACTATATTTGACGAATACTATGTTCTTCCACCTTTCCGTGTTCGAAAGAAAGAGGGACTGGACGTGTGATTTTCAGAGTTGGGATGTAGACCCAGCATGTGGCTAGATAGTTTCAATTTTTTGCAGCAGGTATGGCAGTGTGGGAATGCATAAGAGGATTCTTATGGTAGGGTTGCATTTAATTGAGATCAAGGGTCTGCTTTCTTCGAATATAGGCAGATCAGGTGAGGGTTGATTGTTTCAGGTGATCAAGGAAGGGAATTGAGAAAGACAACTTTTGTTGTCCCTGATGTATTCTGACTATGAGAATGATGCCTTTTGTATTTATGAATGATTCTCGCGATGAATTGACGGTTAGGGATTTGTAGGCGAGATGTGTGGTAGACCATTTGTTTTTAGATAGAGAATCGGTGTTATGAATGGACTGTCAAATTATTGCTTATGCATTTGCATGTAATTCATGATGTTAGAGGCGGTTATGATTAGGAAGTTACCGAG